GACTTGAAGAAGTATCTTGACAAAGAGATGAGAGAGATTGTCAAGAGAGAGTCGATCTCTATGACCAACTCGACTTTCCAGATCGATGCTACTCGAGAGTGAGTTTTCCTTCTTCCCTTTGACTCCAAGATCCAGCTGACCACCTCATAGCTTTGCCATTCCCGTTGTTACTCGATACGTCGCCGATTTCCTCGGATTTGGCAACAAGCTGTTCAAGACTCCAACCGATGCCAAAGACACGTACAGCGAGAATGAGATTTATCAGCACATCACAAACTGCCAGATATTCCTTTCGTACAACGCTGACGAGACCAAGTGGTTGCAGCGCCGTGAAGCCTTCAAGGCTTCCATGAAGAAGCTCATCGAACTGACCCAGAGAGGAACTATCTGGGAAGCTGGACAGTGGGACATCACCAGGGCGTTGTTTGGTAAGAAAGAGACTAATGCTATGCATGATCTTGGAGTCTTTGTCGCGAAGCAGGTCCTTGCTTATGAGAAGGACCAGAGTAAAGCGGCTGCTATTCTTCTGCTCATTTGTCTCGACTTTGCTTATAATGCAGTCGTTTCGGTAAGTTCATTCAGTGCTCGGTTCAATAGATATGCTAACGAGCAATAGTTCACTGCTACCTTGGACGGGTACATGAGGGACCTTTATGCAGCGGCTGATGGTCGTCCGCATCTCATGCTCCTGCGCAATGACATCGGTCCACAATGGATACAAGTCCAGAAGTGCGTCTTCAGTGATAAGCCAGACGCGGATGAGCAGCTTGAGAAGATGGTACAGACAATGGCTCGAATCACCGTTCGGCAACCCATTATTCGCAAGGCTGTCGAAGAAGGCAAGTATACTTTTGCTGGTGTGAACAAAGGAAAGCAAGTTACTATCAAGGAAGGTCAAGCTGTTATCCTCGATCTTGTAAGTTCATACCACCAGATGTCTGTCCAAACTTCATACTAACTGTGTTCTGCAGGCCAAGGCGGGTGAGGAGCCTGGAGTCAAGGGCAACGCAGAGAAGCAACAGGTCTTAATGTCCCAGCTCAGCATCGCCGACAAATTTGGCGTCTTTGCACCTCGACGTGTCGCCACGATCTCTCTAACCTCGATGATCAAGTTCGTCGCTCAGATGAAGAACCCTCGTCGTGGTCACGATGCGCAGGGCAAGCTCAAGAAGATCAATCTTGACTCTACACCCGAGGGCTACGCAAATTACATGGCACCTGGACGAGTTAGCTGGATTGAGCAGCAAGTCAAGAAGCTGGACGACCATAAAGAGGCAGACGAGATCTTCACTGATGACATCCTTCGGCCCCAGACTGATACATATCTCACCCCAACTTGGGATGAGTTTGTTCCCTTCCCCATGACGTGGAAGATTCGCTTCGACGGCTTCGGCGAATCGGATTACAAGGTTGGCACCAATGACTACGGTAGAGTCAAAACAACTCCTACGCTTCCTGATTTCTGTCCTCCGTGGTATCAGCCTCAGGGTCCGAGCACAGAGGGAGGTGCTTTTGCTTCTACTGTCTGCATTTGTGCTGATGAGGGAGCTGGAAAGGGGGAGGTTGATGAGAAGGGTGAGAAGGCTCACAAGAAGGGTTGTCCTTGCGTTGGAGGCTCGAAGAAGAAGTCTAAGCTGAAGACGGCTCAGCTATCGACTGGATGTGGATTGAGTGATAACTGTGTTCACAAGTAGTGGTCCTGTGAGTTTCTAATAATAATTGGTCTCTTGTGTAGCGGTGTGTCACTGTGCTTCACCTTTGGCCATTGTCGTTGAGGGATGTCAGATTGTCTAGGCTGCATGACCCCTCTGCTCGCCTTGGAGTTCCTGCTTAAGGTCAACGCAAATACCTGCTGAAGTTCGCCAAAACTTGACCTCTGTTACCACGAAGATGTCTAAGCGACTTCATCAATTGGAAGAATTTTACGAGACAGCCTATCGCAAGTTCTGTGTTGGATTTGACCGAGCCACGATATTCGGTAGCCATACACTGAAGTCGGCGTTTATCTTAATCCATGTGATATAATTGCCAATATTTCACTTTTCCCTATTGAAATGCGCAGCCATCTTCGGCATTTGCCTTTATTTATACGACATGCGGGATGGGCTGTGCATTATCTATTCGTTACGACAAGTGGGATGACATGACTCAAGCCGAGGTCGCTGACAGCTTGGCAGGGGAAAATCATACTATGGACTCGGCTGGACGCATAATGGATGGGGCTTAGTGAACAAGCCGGGTTGGCTTTTGCTGTTTGCTAATTCAGCTACATTGTTAATTCATTCTGTGATGCTTGATTGCGCCCAGTATTATGTGCAAGATGCCTCGACCCATGCTGAAAATGAACGAATAAACTGTGCACATACCGCTAAAGCTCTCGTTTCCACAACCAATTTATATCATACAAATCTTCTCGACTTGAATAAATATTAGAGAAAGAGTGAGCTTGAATCACATGCAACACATAGGATATTTCCTTGTTGATCTATCCCTCAGTCCATATCTCTTGTACAGGTTAGATGAGCTTTGGTGGGCTGCCAAGATAAGTTACAACCCATTTTCGGGTTTACCGCTAAGCGAGAGCGCCTACAACTACTTAATCCGTCCTAGCTCTTCCGCGCAAACAACGCCAAGAACCATGGGAGATCTGCACGAAGCTAGGATGATCCTCGTGAATCTCCTCTTTCTGAGGGGAACCTCGGATATTACACAAAGCCGGCCAGGATTAAGCATAAGAGGCTCACGAGATAGAAGGCGGGGAGCACATTAGAGTTCACAGCCGGACAAGCCTTTAGTCATTGATGAACCAGACCGGCCAATGCTATCGCAAGACGTGGGGGCAGTTTATACGATTGACCGTGTCGGAAGCTTCTGTGATTATTCCAGGGCCTCTAACTTCCTGATGTAGTAGCACTACCCCATAGTTCTTGAACTCTGAATGACACATCGGTGGTAATAGCGGGGATAGATAACGGCAATTACACTGAGGAGAGTTTGTATGGGAATAAACAGTTGCCAGAGTATAAATAAGAGCAGCCACTCGCGATGAAAATAACTTTATCACAAGCTTTAGCAACCCTGATAGTTTCGATTGAGTTTTGACAATCACACCGTCGCCATGTTGCCAAAGTTTATCACGAATATCCTTGTTTCAGGCGCTCTCGTTGCTGCCGCCACTCAAGAGCCCCTTCAGCCTAACCAGTGCGACGTTACCTGCCAGCTTGCATACCGCAAGGCTCTCGCTCTTGAGTCCAGCCGCTGGGTCAACCAAAACGTTTCCACAGACGACTTCTACTCCAACCCGTCTAATCTTTCCGACTACTCTGCTGGTGATCTTGTGAAATGGGAAAATGTTCCCGCTGATCAAGCCTCCAAGAGGTGGACCCTTCCCGGCGGAGTATCCATGTCTCGGTTCTTCTATATCACCGAGGACATTGATGGAAAGCCCATTCCAGCCACTGGGTTTGTTTTGACACCTTACTCGAACCCACTCGGTAACGACAAGCCTTTCCGTACACTTGTTTGGACTCATGGAACTGCTGGTGGTACGCGTCAATGTGCGCCGTCAAATCACCGAGCTCTCTATTATGAGTGGTCAGGTCCTTTTGCTCTTGTTCAGCAAGGCTATGTCGTGATTGCCCCCGACTATGCTGGTCAAGGCAGTGATATTCCTCAGGGTTTTATGTATGAGTCTGGTGCACTTCACGCTGGAGATGTCAGCTTTGGACTCCAGGCTGCGCGCAAGGCTCTTGGAAAGCGCATAACCAAGGAATGGGTCGTTATTGGACATAGCGAGGGTGGCATGACTGCATGGAGGACTGACGAGCGAGAGGCCAAGCCCGGCAAAGCCACGGGCGGCTTCCTTGGCGCTGTCGCAATTGCTCCAGCTCTCCAACCCATCAAACTCATCCCCGAATCCTTCCGCCGGGCAAAGGATGGCCCAGCTGGCGATGTTGTCTCTATCTTCCTCCTCCAGTCTATCTCACGCCTCTTCCCCTCCATCAAGGTCGAAGACTACGTCACTGACATTGTCCTCAGCCGCATCGCCCTCGCAGACCAGGGCTGTATTATCACAGGAGGTACACTCTATGGTAGCCTGACCGTGAAACAACTGTACAAGAACACCAGCTGGATCGAGCATCCCGACTTCGTTGACTGGCAGAAGCGTTACAACGGCGCTGGAGAACACCCCCTCGCGGCTCCCATGCTTGTCATTCAGGGGGACGATGACATTCTGACGTACGCTGAATATGCCGAAGAGGATTTCAATGCCACTTGCAAGAAGTACCCTCAGTCGACTGCTGAGTATAGGCTTTACCACAAGACGGATCATGGTCTTGCTCTGTCGGTTTCTATGGCTGACTTTTTCCCGTGGATTGAGGACCGTTTCAACAAGGTCAAGCTGAACAAGGGTTGTAAGAAGACTGTTATTAAGCCGGTTACTGATAACTTTGGGCTTACCAGCCAGGACTGGCAGGTAGCGCTGTGAAACCGAAGACATTGGTGTAGTGAGATCTGACTCTCGAGTCGTTGAGGCCCTGGAGGGGTAGTGTTCTTTTATTTTGTACCTATTTATGCAGCCTTGTTTATTATATACCGACGGCCCTTGACGAATAATTACCTGCATCTTCACTTGTTGCTAATTCAGTGGCAAGAACTGTTTTTCAACCTAGAGGTATTGTAGTAGAAAACTATGTATCAGCTTCGCCTAAAGGCAGCATGCCTTGATATATTCCAAATTTACACAACGCTGTAAAAGTTGAGATATGATTTCAAAATATTTTTTGCCGATCAATTCAACATGATACCATTCAGCCAATAACATTCTCAACGAATAGCATCTTGCTAGCTTGTTAGGTGCAAGACGTCGTTGGTGGCTTCGAACTTGTGAGGGCGGGGTACTTGGGAGGCCCACCAGATTCTTGTACCACCTAACTTTTGTTCCTTTCTCTCTGTCGCTCACATCTAAATGGTTATTTCATTTATCTTACCTGGATTTTCTCCCTCTCACTGTTGATCATAAGTTCTTACCTCTGTGTCCATGGATACTTCGTCATTAATACTGGCCCTCCAGCTCCAGCAACAGGACCTAAACCTATGGGAGCAGTCCAGAAAAGGAAAGCAGCGCGAGGGCGAAGTGACAGACTCGGATTTTGCTCTTCTGGCCTGTCGTCAAGAGCTTGAGCTGATGACGGGTCAGATCTCTGATCAAATGCTGGCCCTCAGTATTGCAAGAGCTGTTGAGTCGGATGGCCAGCTCATCAGAGAAGCTCAGTTGGCGGAGGAGCAGGCTGTAAAAGATCGTGAATATGCCATCAGGCTTTCGGGAGGCCCCAGTGCAGCAGCCAAGTCGGATGCTGAAAGTGTGAAGAAAGTCCCAAGAGTGGACGAGGAGGAGGATGATTTGATCGATATCTTGAGATCAATGAATCTGGGTGGATTTGACGATTCCACGTCGGGCCAATCTGAATCATCAAATTGGGCAGCATCACGCAAGGCGCCTCAAATGAAGGAATGCATCGCCTGCAACGACCGATTCCCGCCTCTTGCGCTCTCCCGGTCACCTTGCTCTCACGAGTATTGTCGAGAATGCATGGTGAGCCTGGTCCGTTCCTCACTTCAAGACGAGACTCTATTCCCTCCACGATGCTGCGGCCAGAACATTCCTGTCACTGAAGGTCGATGGTTCACACCAGAGCTAGTCGGCCAGTTCCAGGCTAAGAAGTTGGAATTTGACACGCCGAATCGCACGTACTGCAGCGAGCCGTCTTGCTCGACGTTCGTGCCACCACAATTTATCGCAGGCGAGACAGCGACTTGCCCCAGATGCCGTCGGCGTACCTGTGTCCACTGTAAAGGGCCATATCACAGTGGTATTTGTCCGAGTGATACCGCCTCACAGCAAATCTTGGAGCTTGCGGCTGAGAACGGCTGGCAGCGGTGCTATGCTTGCCACAGAGTGGTTGAGCTAGACATTGGATGTAATCACATGAGTAAGTGGCCAAGCTGTTCTAACATCTAAATGTCCTACTAATACCTAAGCCAGCCTGTATTTGCAGAGCAGAATTCTGCTACGTTTGCGGCGAGCGTTGGAAGAATTGCGGTTGCCCTCAATGGCAAGAAGAGCGGCTGACGAGAAGGGCCAATGACATTGTTGACCGAGATGACAATGCCGGTCATATGAATGCCAGGGTTCGGCAGGCTCGTGTTGAACAGGAGAGGGTGAATTTGATGGAGAACCATGAGTGCACGCACGACAGGTGGAAGGGGCGTCCTGGTCCTCGGCAATGTGAGGAATGTTACCAGGTTCTTCCCCAGTTCATTTACGAGTGTCGTCAGTGCCATATTATGGCTTGTAGGCGATGTCGATTTAACCGACTTTGAAGTTGAGGCTTGAGGCTGTATGTAGTTCAAACATTAAATATCGAAAGAATGGATCCCAGATAGACTCAGATCACAGCTTCTGTGCCATGACTTTGATGTGTATGGATTAATTATATAGTTACAATATGGTTAACGAGGTATGCTAAAGATCGTGACCGAAGAGAAGCCCAATGGTGGGCATGATAAAATGTGTCAGGTTATACACAGTTCAGAGTCCAGCCCCTCCCTTGAAATCTTGTTGTCCTCAGCATTTTCGTCACTGGGTCACCGGACTCATGCTATTCTTAACATCGGGGTATTTTGACTCTTCCTTCCACGCAGCCGGTGCTTTGCAAATTCTTATATCCTTCCCTCTTGCTCTGTACATCACCCTATTTTGACAATTGTCGCAGATGTGCTCAATGTCGAATGACCACTTTGCCATATATGGAGCGACTGCTCCACAGACTGTGGTCATCAGCAGCGCAACAGCTTGTAGACTATCATTTGTCAGCTCAGGCTCTGTCAAGGCGACGTCTTTCACGTACTGAGTTGTGCTGGAAGGCTTCTTCTTCACTCTTGTTTCGCTTCGGCGTAGACAGAACGGACAATCGATGGCTTCAGGTTGGTCCCCAAGGAGATGTAGAGGCGTTACGGTATTCGATCCCGGGGGAGCAGGTATGACTTCCAAACCAGAAGCATATTCGATATTTGTTTGTGGTGTTGTACTAATCATAGGTAGGTTGTCGCGATTATGGGCGTATTCCACGAGAGCAAGTTCGGGGGCATCGTGTATGACGGCCTGTGGAAGGCAATCCGAATCAGCTCGAGGAGAGTGTGCTACTTCGAGTGTGCTATGGTTGCGAGAGTCGAGATCTGTTTCGGTAAGGGGGGGTAATGTGAATGACTCGGTCGATCGAGAGGTTATTGGTGTCATGGCCATTGGGGACACGGAGACATTGAAGGCAACGGGGCTGGAGGTTGTTGTCATAGGCGACACAAAGCCATCTGTTGTGAGAGGGTCTGTTGTAGTTGCCTCTGAGTAACTTGGTGGTGGTAGAGGACTGTTCATGTTAATCGAGGACATGTAGAAGGCAAATATGCTTCTTACCCTGCCGGGACATGGTACAGTTGCCGGTCTTTGGAGTCCATTATGAGGGAAAGAAATATGAGACAAGTGACAAAACTTGGCAGCATTCCATTAGGAAGAGCAGGAGACAAGATATTTAACTAGCTCAATGCAGGATCGAGTACCCCGGCCCATTAGGCTGATGTGTTCGGATTCGACGGAGCTTCTCATCAAGCGATCCTCCAACTAACAATCTTGTCGAGGCCCTACGAGGCTAAGTTTAGATTAAAGTGAAACTTTATGGCAATTCGGCCACGCGTAGCGTGCGCAATGGTCAACACTAGAGCCGTAATGCAATTTGAAATCATGCCGCAGATGCCACTAACCAACGGCACAACCCGGTACCGAAACCGAAACCGAGAGCGGCACCGAAACCCCTGAACCAATCAAATCATGGTTGCTTCATGAGATAAAGACGATCAAAAGGCCCCAGACTGAGCCTTGAGCCTGGGGTTGTCTTTGCTGACGTTCTTGAGATTCCAACAAGCTTATTTGGTTGGATCGGGTTAAAAATAGTGCCGGTAGGGCTGGTTTTCCGGGTAGCACTATGTCTCTAAGCCTCAGAGCTCGGTTTCTCTTTTGCACTCTGCAGGTTTTCGAATACGTGTATGGGCTTTTGCAGTGCATCTACGGTAACTGCCGCGTAATTAATAGAGTTGAGACTTGTTGATTCATAATGTTTTGGTTCAATTGCGAATGTTATAAATGTTGGTCTTGCCAACAATGTCCAGCTTTATCATCATCTCAAGCCTCAACATCCTCATTCCATTGTAATCACACTACCGCCTCTTTTCTTCACTACTTTTACGAACTCTATCAAAATGACGCCTGTATTTCTCAAGAAGATGGAGCCTTTCTTCACCCTCCGCAACAAGCTTCCCCTGCAGATTGTTTTAGTCACCTTGATCATTACCGTCATCACCCTCTCAGGCGTGCGACTCATCTTGCCCAATCGGCCCCCAGGTCGCTCCACCACTATGGGTCTCGGCATGGTAAGCTTATTTTCCGACACACGATCTCTCAGATCTGACATGTTTATTTTCAGGGTGCCAAGTCCCTCATTATCCTGACCTACGAGATCCTCACCGAGCACTCAATCCGCTTCCATCGCTGGAGCAGCCTCAAGGCTTACTTCATCCTCAATGCTATGGAGGTTGTCTTCTGGGCAGCTGTTGCTTTCATGATGATCCGGGGTAACTCTCAGCTTTGTGTCGGAACAAGCTGCGCACTGGGTTGGGTAGTCTTTGTGTTGGCTGGTTTCTTGAGGTATGTCCTTCTCAGCACCCATGACTGATTGTGACTAACGAATCAGCCCGATATACAAGTACCTTGCTGTGGTTACCTACTTGGACTGGCGGTTCTACAAGAAGAATGGCTTTCCCCGCGGCACAAGGACAAAGAATACGGATGAATCACTCAGCACTCTCCGCTCAGATGACACCGCTTATCGCCACTGAGAAGCGACTCGACGGCTGTGATAAGGTTGAGACGTTAAAAGAGGCACGAAGGGCTGCGTCACAATATTTTGAAGGAGTTACCCGGGCTTGAATTGGGATGGAGTTATTGTTGAATTACCCATGCATTCGTTTGGCTTTTGTATTCCAGTTATTTTTCCGTTTGTTTTTACATGTAGATGGTCTATCTCTCTTTAGAATCAATGCACTTGAGCATTTCTCTCACATTCAACAGCTGCCAAACACCATTGCAGCATTGACGACCATCGTGGTTCCATTTCGTTCCGAATGTCTTGTAGTACCGGCTTGCCCCAATTCCTCATAAACCATTGAGATCTTCCAACTCGATCCAAGATGACACAATAGTGCGCTAGGACACAAAGCGCAACAGGGTGCCGCTGTCTGATGAGGTCCAGAAATCCCGAGCTTACAGACAAACACCAAGTCATGGCAATTCGCTCGTCAGGCGTAGCCGTTGCCCCGATGTGATTCTCTATCCAGGTAATTCCTGATGCGATTGATTCTTGACATATCGCAGTTGCCGTATCTTCAAAGCCATCGGGTATTACAATTTGCCGAAGCTGCGTGAGCGTGGCGTCAAGAAGAGGCGTCGAGCCAGATTGGCTTCCTTTGACGAAGAGATGCCCAATTCTGCTCTCCTTGAGCAGTGGCTCGTATCTGTTGAGGATGTCGCTCATGCCCCGAATAAGCACAAAAACATCGAGAAGATCGTCAATGCGAGGCTGTTGACCAGCATTGTGAGCGCCGAGACCAGCGAATGCCCCGATGCCCAGCAGTGAAGATGACAAAAAGATCTCCACGCAGCTCTCCTCAGTGATGCACGCGACAGCTGACCGAAGACCAGCGATAGCCTTATTTTGATGTTGTGAGGCACAAATAGCGTAGTCTGGTCGATCTGGATGCAGGGAGGCCAGGTGGAATGCAGATACAGACAAGACTTGGTGGAGAAGATAAACATGGCTCAGGGATAGCTTGGGCAACTCAATCTGCCATATTTGCCGAAGTTCATCTGCTCGCGGCAGGGTAAGGTAAGTAGATGTCGAATACTGGTGCATCAGCTCAAGGTCCGTGAGCCATGTGCTCTGCTCTATTGACTCTTGACCTGTAACGAACTTGGCTAGGTACGGCAATGGATCCGGGCTCGCGATTGACGAGTCGGCATTTGAGCTTTTTTGACGATCATCTCTTTGGGTATCGACCTGTGTAATCAAGTCAGGGTCTGTTAGATCCACATTGGTACAACCTACGGACTTTATCAGCTGAACGCCCTCGTCGTACTTCCGAAGGTTCCTGGTAGACACACGATAAGCCGTGTCTCTCGCACGCGGCGCAAGGCTGCTTCTCATCACACTGACTAATTAGTCAGACGGTATCGACGCGTGTTGGGGTGTCCGGGCTCACCTTGACGCGTCTTTGTTTACAGCGCATGCAACCCCTTCGAGACTTTTTGTACCCCAAGCGCGGGGGCATTGTTACAGCTTTCTCGACCGTTCTTTGCTGAATGGTTTCGCTATCGCTTTCGCGATGGGCTTCGGGCGGTAAACGATTAATAGGGTTGCATGAAATGGACAAATTGAGGTTGGTCAGTGGAGATTAATTATGCCGAATTGTGAACGCTGCTTATGTAAAGCGTCGCTCAAGGTTTGCGCTACATTCAGATCTGGTAAGGTGTTTTATTTATGTATGTATGTATGTATGTATATTTTTCGTCCGGGGGCCGTGAGGCCCGTAAAGTCCCCTATTGGGGCACAGGACGTGCTGAGCTAGAGTCTCTAGTGCTAAAATCTACGTAAGGCATTCGCAAATTACAGAACAAACCACTATCCAGCATATCATCGGCTCAAAAGCGCGTTC